GAAGTTTCCAAGCGCGGCCATTAAAATATCGCACGGTCGGCGCGGTTCACGGTCTAGTCGGTCCGCTTTTTGCTAGCAATCCACAATGTAGTTCTGCGCGCGTCAGTATGTAATTTGCATAACAAACGATAGTTCGCGAGAGAGATAAAATAAATAATCGCGTGGTCGAGAGACTAGCTGCTATCGAGTGTGGCAGAAGGTGATACGAGTGTAACGACAGCTTGACGCAGCCGATAACTCGACTTCCGTTATCGTTCAAGGAAACGTCAAATCTATCTTCGTCCCCCACCCACCGCTTCTTGTCGATCGTTTTCGAGATCTCATTGTCGTGTTACTGATTGATGAGTGCCATCGATTCGAGGGCTTACGAGAGGATTCTACCCCCAGGAATGATAGAAGGGCACGGAATATCGGTTAATCGACCGCGTCTACAAGCTGATTTGATACGTTGGGGCCATACATTGATGTAACGTGCATTATATTTCTATCTTCATTATACCGTCGGAACGGCGACACGTCAAGGAAAAAAAAATGAGGGGAAAAAATTCCATCGGCTCTCCACAAACGAAAGAATTGAAATGACAGGAACGTATAATCCCTCTATAATGACCTATACTAAAAAAAAAATATAATCTTATTCTCAGCGAAATATCCTCGCGTGCGCGCAGGAAATCTAATTTAGAGAATTCCTCTTACATATAATTCCTCTTACATATAATTTCAAGAGGATTCATACAAAACCAAGAAGAAAATATTCCATAAGCACAATATCCTCCAAATTAGGGGAAAGTGTTCTTAACCGGTTCACTGGTGAACTCGGAACCAATGTTTTGTGCCAAAACTGGTGAGAACAAAAAATTCCGCATTTTACATAAAAGCTTATTTAATAAGGGTTTTTTTGGGTAGCTGATTACGAATTCGAGGTCAAATTTGTCCCGTTACTGGTACTTTTACCCTATGCACCCAAAACTAATATCCTTCATATCGTTCATTATATTTCTAGGGTCAAATTTTCTCTAAAGTCAATTCTGAATATATTTTTATATTGTTTCATTTTATAATTTATAATATAAAATTCATAATATTTCACTAGCTAATAACCCATACAGCACAAAATTTCTTGACGTCCCACAGATTTCCTGAAGACATAGAAACGTTCCCAGGACGTTCTCAGGACGTACTCTGGACGTCTCCTGGACGTTAATTTGTGCTTAGGGAACGGAGTATTCATGGAATCATACCGAATATCATACCGAGTTTGTTCCATATCTGTAATGGAATACCAAAATTAGTCACTTGAAGCCGCTATAGTGGATCCGTCATTTTAAATTTTTCAAATTTGACCTCGGATTCTTAATCAGCGATCCAAAAAACATGAGGGTAGCAAGTTTTATGCAAATCCGTTTAAAACTGGCGGAAATATACAGCGAACACATACATATGTGCTTACCAGTTGTAGCACTTTTTTTTCCTACACATACTCGTATATGTGCGCTTACCAGTGAACCGGTTAAAGCAAGAGGAATTTCGTGTTACGTGGACCGATCTTTTCACTCGTGTGCAGCGTGAATTTCACGAGTTTTACTTGTTCGCCCAAGTCGAAATTTAGGTTATACATTGAGCACGCAAGTGTATGTCGCCGAACTTGTAGGCCCGTGAAAACTAATGTTCGGCAATACTAACGACCAAAGGTCATACATTTTATATCTTTACGTCCTTCAGTGGTGCGATATATCTATAATTCTTAACGACAGTGTTGTTATCGTCATATTACCGTTGCGTAGCTTTTCTATCATATATTATATTTACGCAAGGACAACATAATAATACTGTCATTAAGAGTTACAGAATCGCACACAGAGCCGGCTGTTCCAACTTCTCGGTAAGTTAACTGATAGTTAAATCTTTGTCTAAGTTGAAAGAAAAACAAAGACAGACGTATGATTTAACTATTATTTAACTTGCTGAGAAGTTGGAACAACCGGTTCTTAATCCTTTCAACTCCGAATTAATTCTATTCGCGAGAATAATTTTTTCTCTATTCATTATTGTTCCTAATAATGTAAAGATGATCTAATTTTTTTTTTTAATTTTCCAATAAACCATTTTGGAGAGATCAAAATGTTGTTTCAGAAGAACAATCTTTTGATGTGCTGCACTATTTTCAATGCAAATTATATTCTGCATTATAACAATTTTCTACTTTTTATATATCGTAATAATGCACGAGAATATTTTATATAGTCCACTTTTATAATAGGTAAAAGCAATATTAGTAAATAGCGATTATTTATGAAACAGCCAGTGTCGAAGTGAAGAGACGACGAGTCCCGATAATATATTTATTAGTTCTTACTACTACAATTAAGGGGACTAGAGGGTCAGACTGCCTGAAAACCGTGCTTGTGCTCTTTCACAATTTTTTATGATAAACAGAATGAATATGCGAATATGTTATTTTGACGTGTATTTATACAACATATAAAGAGAAAAAAAATATAATTTTGATGATTAAATACTTAATATAAGTGGTACGTAAGCTTTCGTCGTTATCGTGTAAATCACTGATAAACTCGTGAAAATATTTAATTTTGAAATATTAATTTTCTTAAAATAAAAGAACTGAAAATCTAATAATATTCCATTAAGATATTTGCAATTTTGTTAACTTTTACTCGTTTTTTATCGTTCACACGATAACGTTTTTATCGTTCAACGACAAGTTTACGGAAATTTTCTACCTAAAATTCAGCTTAATTGAACCACCGAGAGTCAAGATATTACTGCAAAATAACGACTTTAAAAAGAAAAACGAAATATATTTTAACTGCATATACCATACACTTATATTGAGTATTTGATCATCAAAATTATATTTTTCTTCTCTTTATATGTTGTATAAATACACAGCAAAATAACACTTTCGCATATTTATTCAGTTTGTCATAAAAAATTGTGAAAGAACAAGCACGATTTTCAGTCAATCTGAGACCCTCCGGTTCCTTTAAGTGATAAGATTCCGCCTAAAATCGTAAGAGACAGAGTTGCCAACAACGTTTGATAGTTTGGCGACGAAACATATCGATTAGTCTGGGTCGATTCGAAGTACGAGTTGCCTCAGGGTAACGACGAGTGCGAGAAGGTTAATAGTTTTGATCCCGATTGATCACCATTTTTCTTTATGCTCGACTTCGAAGATTATGCGACAAGCAATTATCTCAGTGGCTCAAACATTATCCTTATACTTATATAATGTGTTCTTACAGTGTTGAGATATTGTAATAATCCGAGTCGAAGTTTTAATCCTATTTTCAACCTCACTATTTCATTCAATATCTATTTTGATATTCTAAAGCTTGTAATACAACCTATTTTGATTCTAAAAAAAGTGAAAAAGGAAATTGCGGACATCATCAGAGTCAAAGTAGGAGTATATTGTATCATCAGAATTAAATCTACTTTGTTAACTAAGTTTCTATTGTAAAATTCAAGATTTAAAGTATAGAGCTAAAATTTCGACTCGAGATAGCATTTTTTAGAGAGACTTATAGCTGATTATAAATTTCAACTCGAGTGATTTCCTCTTATCATACGCGACAGAGTGCAGCGATATTATTGCTTGTCTCTTATATAAGAGGGTATTCTGCTTCAAATAATCATATTCCTCTTGATTCAAGGGGAAAAAAGTTTGAATAATATCGAGTAGATTTCAAATTAATAGAAAGCTCACTTCGTTAGAAGAGAGATATTCTTTTGACGAGAGCTCTCGCTTAGAATATAGGATTACAGGAAATACCTTGTAACTAGAGTTCTCTTTTCTTCTGAATGTGAACGTGATTTATTCATCGACACAAATAGATTTTAAAATTTAGTCTAGCGTAAGTCCGGGCAAAAAAATTTTAATTGCGCGTTTTGAACGTTGATGTTGGAGTTTACCTGAGCGAACATGTTTTATGAATGTTTAATTTGGCAGATTTTAACTGCACGCGGTGTTGTGTGTGCTTGCTGACAAAGAATCGTGAACAATATTAAACTTTCGGGGCTTCGCTTGCGAAAGAACGTGAGAACAAAGAGCGCCGAGCAGGCCGTGCAAGTAAATTGCTTAAATTAACGAGACAGAGAGGGAGAACGTCCGCGCGTAAAGGCGTTGATTTGTATGAACATACGGTCGGCTACGACGTTTCTATTCCTTTGCGCGAGTATTACTCGCTCGAGACTTGAAAATCTTCGAATCCTTATTTGAATAATTCATGTGTGAACACGTCGGCCGTGTGAAATACGATCATTACTCAAAATGAGCGTACGGCATATTGAAACTTATTTGCGGAGCGTACGCTGAAAGAAAATCAACGGAGTTCGACAAAACTTCCTCGACGACAAACGCACATCGCGCCAGCCGGAGTTGCGTTACTTCGCCGCGAACTCCAGCCACGCGACGACGGAATTCGCATCGAATTTCCCATAAAAAGTTCTCCCCGCCTGCTCTTTCGAGAAGATGCGCGAGAAGGGTCGCGGGGCTTTAACCGGAAGTTATAAAGATCGATAGTGAATGCAAAACACTCGTGTCTTCGGCGAGAGACCTGCCGGTGAAGTTCTACAGAATTTGCATATTTCTATACACATTCGCACACAAAGAGACATGAGAAGCGAGCGGAACAAAAGCGCGCACGTGCACGTGTGTGTGTGTGCGGCGTTACGAACAAATTTCATAATTTTTAATTTATCCAACGAGTGGAAAAAAATGTGTTCGCGCGCAACTTGCCGTATTTCTCTCCTTTTCCCCTTTTTCTTTTCGAGCATTACTACATCGAAGAAGTGTTGCGGCAAAGTGTTTTAATTAACACATGATGGAAACGATTCGATAGAAACTGTTTGTTGTGGCGTGCTTTCTTTTCGCGTGAAATTATACCGAAGGGAGGGCGGAACGCGCGAATACTTTTTTTACCTACTGTACGTGTCAGGAGCACGAGAAATGATATTATAGAGATTGCCTTACTAACCTCACTCTGCGTCTCCATGATTGGCGTTATTGGCAAGTTACAAGGATGAAACACCACGGGAACGTCACGTGAATGTTCGAACACCAGATCTGAAACAAGAGGAATTACTGCCTGGATTTTGAAGCTCTCAATGCAAAGAAAGTTGAAAACATATACTCCGAAAAAGAAAGGAACGATTTCATTGAAAATAAATATTAAGAATATTTTCCTTTTAGTTTTTATTAACCGACTTCGAAAACAAGATGATTCTCAATTTGCCTTATATATTTTTTCATTTGTGTTTGCATATTCTCTCATAACTCGAGAATCGTTAGATATACTGATGCGAATTTTTTCGTAGCTTATTTGGTATGTTGTCTACCTGACTTTTAGATTAATTCTATTTCACTACACTGAGAAAAAGATACTTGAAAACTTATTTGTGGGATATAAAGTTTGTTTCATAGAAATAAGCTTGATTTCGGAGAAACCAACTTTGTTTCTCAGAAATGAGCTTTATATCTCACAGATAAATGTCCAAAAATTTTCTACTCAGTGTTCGGGTTTGTGTTCCGGACCTGAAGATTGGATAATTCTATTATTTTCTTGAAAAAATATCCGAGAACATCTAGACATACAAGATAAAACTTTTATTTTTAATCGGTTTCAACAGAATCTTTTTTTAAACCAACTTTTAGTAAATAATTGAGAAGTACGAAATAAAAAACTTTAAAAAGGAATAAACCGCTACCAGAAACCTCAAAAACCCTAAAAAGAGAAAATATTTTTGACTCAATATTCTTACAATTCTATCTTGATATTCTAACGATATTAAAAAACGGGCGATGGGAATTAAATAGATTAAATATATATAACTGTAGGGAGATAAATAATAAAAAAGATTATTGACTCAATCGATCAGGTTTTTGCGCCCACTTCTATATGATATTGTTGTTATGATATTGTTGTTATGATATTGATGTTAGAATAGAATTGTCGGTACATATTGAGTTAAAATTATATTTCGTACTTTTCAGGGCTTCTGAGATTTTTGAAGATTTCTTTTCTTTTTTAAATTTTTTATAAAAGAATTTTTTTATAGGAAAATCCTTGTGAAGTCATATATATAAGAGGATTCCGCTAAGGATGAGATTGCATTTCTTTTGGGTGTGTATATGTGTATACAACACTTTAATATACTGAATAATCGCCACTTATAAGAACATTCATAAAATTCAAAATAGATGTGAATCTCTCTCGCGTGTATCTTCTCCAAATAAATAAATGCCACTCAAAAAAGCAGCAGCGTAGATTTTTATCGCTCCACTTTCTTTTCTTTTTCGAGCTACCTTTACGCTAGATACTGCCATTTCACCTGAAATTGTGCGAGCTGCACGATACGCAATGAAAAATAAATGTACCGGTAAATGGAGCGCGAAGGTGCGCCTAATGACGTTAGACTCGAGTGATAAATGTAGCGCGATAGACGCGATCTGCGGAAAAAGAACGTTACGTAACGTCGCGCTCGTGGATTTATTTTGAGAGAGTCACCAGAGGATCCTCACGACACTTCGCGCGGTATATTTCTTTTGAATTCGATATACGCGTGTTGGTGGACGATTTGTCCTAATTTTTGCTCGGGTTACGAAATCGCGCCGATATTTTCGCGTCCAATTTTACGCCTCCGCGACTATTTCCATCTGCTTCAGTCGTGTCCACAGGACAGATCGATTCAATTTCCATTCTATTAAGATCGGCAAGCGACGGCGCTTCCCTGCAGAACGTAACTAATCGTAAGTCTTCGATGAAACCATTCTGAACGATCTACCGCGAAGGTCAGGTACGTGATTGATAGAGCTCCGCTGTCGATCAGGAAGGAAAAGAGGAAAAGAAAGAGAGAAGGGGATAGAAGGGGAGAAAAAGAAAGAGAGAGAGGGGGGAGAGAGAGAGAGAGAGAAATCGAGTGCTCCTTACAATCCAGTCAACCATCTAACGGTTGAAACTTATTGAACTCGTGAACGACACGTCATCCATCGGGAAGTTTGGCGCACTCTTCGGAAGTATTGACGAAGTCCAACGACCGATACCAATTCGAGACGCACGATTTGGCCTACTAAACTTCACGAAAGAAAGTTGGTTAATATCAAAGTTGATCTTTATCAAAGTAACATGTTTACGCATTGCATATGGCTCATGGGATATCTGATGTTTAGACTGATTTCCTAAACAACTGCTGCGATCTATCAGTAACTGAAATAAACATTAGGATTCTTATCAGCCACCAGAGAGATCTGGCATCAATGCCACGTTGTTTATAGTATTAAGAGAAGCCGCTTTGTTTTCCTTCCTCAGATTTTTTACGAGGTAAGATTCAAACATTTTTTGCTTTAGTCGATAAATCTAACATATTGACTATAATGTGTCGATCAATAATAAGATCAAATTTTAGATTTGCGGAGTTAGTTACTTGGCAATATTTTTTCTGTTTTGAAATTCGTTGAGTTGCTTGGAAAATAGCGGTAATTGTCTACGTATAATTGCGTGAACTCTGCTTTAAATTAAACACATACTTCCATCTATCCTGCCACTTTTCATATACTCTCTACCCTGTAATATAATACATAAACATATAAGTATCAAATTTAAATATTTTTTAATTGAACACTGTTTTGTTGTAGTATTTTTTCATCTCTCTAATCTGTCCCGCTCTACCCCTCACTCTATATGTTACTTTCTCCCTCTTTTTTCTCTCTAGTTCCATCTCTTTCTCTTGTCTCCATTCCTTTCCCTTTTTCATTAAAAAATTCTGCTATCTGCATATCGTTCTTCGTCACCCCTCATTCTCTTAACCGTAGTTGTCTTTTGGTCTTTTTCTTCTTTTCTTTTTCTTCTCTTTAGTCTTTTAGATAATCTTTTCCTTCTCTTTTACATATTCTACAGTATACAGCTACGGAAACTTACGACAATCTATCACACAAGAACCCCAAAATAAGTGAACGTCAAAGCACGAAAAAAGAGAATTTTTCTGCGCAAGGAAGAATCTGGCACAGTCATGTGTATAATGCGCGGGTCTTAGGAATGGGATAGGAGAACAGAGCGCTGTGCGCAATGTATTAACGTGGCTTAATCGATAAACGTAAAAATAAAAATGAACATCGGGGGTTCTTTGCCAGTTTATTTTGCTTTGTCATTCCAAACGTTTAAGATAATACCCTGAAAATAATTTCACCAAATGTGCATATATTTTTTCATTTGGTTGGAGCATATTTTAAATGCATACACAGAAAAAAATTAGTATCCATTTAAAACTAATAAATATATATATAATCACACATTAACAATTATTGCTTCATATATAAGCAACGATATATAATTTTGTTAGAATTTTAAAATTTTGAACTTCAAAAATGTTATAATTTTACTTGAATAACTCCGTTTAACGCTATGCGGTCTCATTTGAAAATTAACATGTCAAAAATAGATTATTTTTGATATGTTATAGATTATTTATATTTATATTTATATTTATATTTATATTTATATTTATATTTATTATAGATAGATTATTTTATAGTATTTTTCTAAACAAGAACGTTTTCTTTTTTTGTGTACAGTGACCTTTTGGAGTACATTTTTAGTCGCGACGGACTCGCATATATTTCGTTCGTGTTCTCAAACATTCGGTGCTGTTTTGTTTTAATACCGTAGCGCGCGAGAAATTGTGACTTTTCGCGCATTATCTGGCACTTGGCCAACACACCCACGCATTAACGATCGAGTACGACTTTCCGACGCGAATCTATTTGATCGACATATCAACATCCTGTATCCGTGACAATCGCGTATTTCCGATGAAGATACGAGCAAGTCGGGCTGCGATCTATCTGCCGATAGTTCGCTCATTGCATCGTCGCGAGAAGCCCTAAAATCCTGTTCGTTCAATCATTATTAAATTACCGGCCATTGAACTCTTGATTAATTGCAGATGCGCTACGGGCGATAGAGCACGTTGCAGCAATTCGCCTTTGATTGGCGAAGCGTTTAAAATTTAAATTACTCCATCAGTTCGTTCTCTATCCGCTGCGGAGATATATTAGAGGAGAACATAGGAACATGGAATATCCATTGTGTCTGTAACGTGTAGAATTAGACGTTTAATGTTACGATCACTGTGCTAGCACTTTACGCGCCTGCTATTAATATAAACATGGCGATCGAGCTTCAAGCTAAAATGGGCAAAATCGAGATCTTATTTTGCTGAAAAGTATGTGTCACGCACTTCGACATCTGAAATTCCTACGCTCTAAATTTTTTCGAATAAAATCCCGCTCGAAAAGTGGAGTGACAGCTGAGTCACTCAAATTCCAGTGATTTTTCGGTCGCATAGATTGAATTTACAAGTAAATATTCATTCGTCTCGTGAAAGAGATTTCGCTGGTAGAAATTTAGAAAGTATTTTCCAAATTTTATCGATTGGAATTCGGCTCAAAGTGATGGGATGAGTCTGAATCGCCCATATTCAGAATGACTTTTTGCTCATATAAAGTTCTCCTTCCCTAAATTTTATTTACTCACTCTATATGAGTGGAAAATCACTCTGAATTTGAGCGATTCAGACTATTACTTACTTTTTAAATAGAATCAATAAAACTTGGAATGTGCCTTCTAAATTTCTTGATGATTCAGAGTGATTTTTCACTCATGTAGAGCAAAAGAATCATTTCGTATAAGTGAAAAGTTACTCTGAATTTCATCAAAAGAGAAATTTAGAAATTATACTCTCTCTCTCTCTCTCTCTCTCTCTCTTTCTCTCTCTCTACAGTTTATCGGTTAAAACTCTACTAAAAAAGCGGAGTGACAGTTGAAATCGCTGAATTTAGAGTGGCTTTTCACTCATATAGGGTAAATCAATCAAATTTAGCAATCTTTCATTCATATAGTGAAACATCCGTCCGTACGAGTGAAAAATCACTTTGAGTCATCGGACAAGTGTTTCCATTTGGAATTCAAGAATGAATTTTATATATTCCAGTATTGCAGGAACAAATTCACTCTAGCTGACTGAAACGTTTACTCATGTGAATGAAGAATCCCCTCTAAGCTTGAATGA